ATAGTTGGCCGGATAATATCTCCAACTTCAAAACATGCTTTTCTCGAAGTATATGATGTCCCCAACTTAATAATTATAACATTTGCCTTTTCCTTGGCGGTTTTCAAGGAATATATTAATCAGATATGCTTCAAACAGCAATTTTTTTTTTCAGCCCAATGGTTATATGCTATTCTTGCCACGTTTTTAAGCAATAGTTCGATTATTTGTCGCCACATTAATTAAAGCGTGAAATCTTCCGGCAAACGTCTTCCAAATTTTTCAAACCAGCTAGTTCAGTAGAGAATTAACTTGGGGATGTAAACCAATCAGAAACGTGGAAATATTTTTAATTAATGATAAAATAACTTTTCGGAGGCTGTAAGAAGTGTTATAGCAAAGAAGTGTCCAGAATATTGGAAAATATTTTTTTCACAGAACAATTTTATTATATCATATATAGACCACAAGCTTAAAAACACTTGGTTTCTGCTGGATTTACACAGAATAATGCACTTATCATCTTCAACATCTAGGTATAAGAGTCGTATAATGTTTGATTTACACAATTATAAATTAATGTGACATCATTATGAAGTCTTATTTATTTGTTGAATTTATTGCCTAAATCCATATTTCACTATTTTCCCCCAAAAATTATTGCTAGAAAGCGAAAAACATACAGTAGGAATGCATCGGATAAAACATTAAGTTGGTTGACACACTGATAATCTTTCTGAAAAATAACAGTGAAGTCATGACGACGACATTTTCATTAAAGGAGACCCCTCTATATCAAGGCATTCATGAAAGAAAATTATTCGTAAAATTAATCTGCTAATTAATTACGCATTTGTTGGGGAAGATTGCGTGACAAGCCGAAAGAACATCTGCAAGGGAAGCCACGTCAGTGGCAACTACTCCACTGGGTCACTTTTCGACTTCTCTCCCTCAGTAATAAAATTCTGATCCATCTTCAAGTTTGTTGCTTCATTTTGTCGTGTTTCACATGTGACAGTCTATAAAATTTAATCTACTCCACCTGTTTGGACCAGTGTCTTACAGTTGATATCAATTAAGCTACCCAAATAACTGAAATAGCAAAGCAGGGAACTGGCCAGTGTCAGCTTTCGTTCCATTGTTGTCATATGGTTTTTCTGAGTTGCTGAAAGCAACAGACACTCCATGACACTTGATATTTGTTTTCCCTTTTTCTCCATAGAATGATAAATCACCTTTAATGAGAGAGACTAATTCATAACAGTTATTCTGCTTTAGATCTACTGGACTATTAAACAAAACATCAAAGCCATAAAACGTCTTGGTATCCTGATGTTTCAACTCTGAGATGTACGATCCCGATTTCTTCACAACACACAAACCACTTACAGTGTCAATCAAATCAACACTGACTGTGTAACTGCTTCCTTTACTGCCAAAGTGTTCCACCCCAATTAGTTGTATGTCCTTGCTGACTGTGAAACAGATACGGTCACTCTTTCCACGCCTGTAATTCCAACACTTTCCAGGAGTGCGTAATGCGTCAAATCGATGACAAGTAACATTAATAAAGGGCTTGGTTCTTGGGAATGCCGAGAACGGCAAAGGGGAAGTCAATATACCATTGAACTGTTTCATCAATTCAACAACTTCTTTCATTGTCAGAATGTTACTGTCAGGGACAACAGAAAGAAATTCCTTCTGTGACATCAACGGAAACCTGATGGCCTTCAAGGTTTCCTCTCCAATTAATATTCTTTTCGCTTCACCATCGGAAGTTATACCCTGTCTATCCATTTCTTTAGTTGCCCAGCGATCAAGGGCTTTAAACAATTCTACTTCCTTTATGTTCAATACTTCTCTCTTCACAAGAGATTCTACAAGTGACTTCTCAAGGGTGCCAAATTCCGCAGACGACAAAGCCTCCTCTGTCTGCTTATCAATCACGGTCCAGCATCGATCTTCCAAATCTTTATCCTCGAATTTCTTAGCGTGCGGCAGAATGGAGAACACATTGGCTGCTTCCAGGTTGTCTCGCAGATACTCACTGCATTTATCAACAAGTAACGGAACCATGTACTTCTTCGCCAAGTACAGAACATGCATCACATTACTTCCGGTTAGGTTCACTTCATCGCGGGCGTTTAGACAACGGCTTAATATGCTGTTATCACAGTATATATACTGCAACATTTTAAGCCACTAACTACGGTCGGTATAATATTACTTGCCTAAAATATTACATATATACCGACTAACAAGTTAAGCCATTAGTTACTGGCTTAAAATATTACAGTACATATAAAGTTTGGAAAGAAATTAAGCCGTTAGTTATTGGCTTAAAATGTTACAGTATGTTATAAGTGTGGTTCCAAATTAAGCCGTTAGTTATGGGCCTAAAATGTTACAGTATGTTATGAGTATGGTTCCAAATTAAGCCGTTAGTTATAGGCTTAAAATGTTACAGTATGTTATAAGTGTGGTTCCAAATTAAGCCGTTAGTTATTGGCTTAAAATATTACAGTTTGTCTTGAGTGTGGTTCCAGATTAAGCCGTTAGTTATTGGCTTAAAATGTTACAGTATATATACAGTTTGGTAAGAAATTAAGCCGTTAGTTATTGGCTTAAAATGTTACAGTTTGTAATGAGTGTGGTTCCAAATTAAGCCGTTAGTTATTGGCTTAAAATGTTACAGTATATATACAGTTTGGTAAGAAATTAAGCCTTTAGTTATTGGCTTAAAATGTTACAGTATGTTATAAGTGTGGTTCCAAATTAAGCCGTTAGTTATGGGCCTAAAATGATACAGTATGTTTAAGTGTGGCTCCAAATTAAGCCGTTAGTTATTGGCTTAAAATATTACAGTTTGTAATGAGTGTGGTTCCAAATTAAGCCGTTAGTTATCGGCTTAAAATGTTACAGTATGTAATAAGTGTGGCTCCAAGTTAAGCCGTTAGTTATTGGCTTAAAATGTTACAGTATGTCATAAGTGTGGTTCCGAATTAAGCCGTTAGTTAATGGCTTAAAATGTTACAGTTTGTAATGAGTGTGGTTCCAAATTAAGCCGTTAGTTATTGGCTTAAAATGTTACAGTATGTTACAAGTGTGGTTCCAAATTAAGCCGTTAGTTATTGGCCTATCATAACGACATCTGCGTCGAAATCCGTAATCTGAAGATTCGAAAGAATGCTTGCTTAACACGAGCGAAATGAAACGTTTCATTAGTTTGGGTGCTTTGAGGGTAATGGCGGGGCGTTAATCAAAACAATTACAGTCAGTGTACTATTCCAATTTCTTTTCCAGTTTTGTGGAGTTGTTTATAAAACAGCAAATAGCCCCTTTCCTTCTTAATAACTTCCCAATCCGAGACCAAACCCTATCTCCTCATAGTATGTGTAAAAGTGCTATGCAGAGTAGAGGGACATTCATTGGGTAATTACTTTTTGCCATAAGTGACTCTGGTAAATTAAACCCTTCATAGTCCTCCCAAGCAAGAAAGAGACACAATCACACATCTTATCTAGTGTTTATTACTTAGTACAGTTGTTTCCCGACCCCCTCGCTTTGCGATGTCGCGATGTGTCATACATAGGATTGTTAGTATCGCGTTCTTTATTCTTCGCTCCCTCTTAAGTCTTGCCCTGCTCAATCCTGTCTTAAAAGTGTCCATTATTTATTGTTAGTACTTGTCTCTTTTGGGGAACTAACTTAACGGCTTAATCTGGAACCACACTCAAGACAAACTGTAATATTTTAAGCCAATAACTAACGGCTTAACTTGGAACCACACTTATAACATACTGTAACATTTTAAGCCTATAACTAACGGCTTAATTTGGAACCACACTCATAACATACTGTAACATTTTAGGCCCATAACTAACGGCTTAATTTGGAGCCACACTTATAAGATACTGTAACATTTTAGGCCCATAACTAACGGCTTAATTTGGAGCCACACTTATAACATACTGTAACATTTTAGGCCCATAACTAACGGCTTAATTTCTTACCAAACTTATAACATACTGTAACATTTTAAGCCAATAGCTAACGGCTTAATTTGGAACCACACTTATATAACATACTGTAACATTTTAAGCCGATACCTAACGGCTTAATTTGGAACCACATTTAAACATACTGTAACATTTTAAGCACATAACTAACGGCTTAATTTGGAACCACATTTAAACATACTGTAACATTTTAGGCCCATAACTAACGGCTTAATTTGGAACCACACTTGTTTCATACCGTAACATTTTGGGCCAATAACTAACGGCTTAATTTGGAACCACACTCAAGACAAACTGTAACATTTTAGGCCAATAACTAACGGCTTAATTTGGAACCACACTCAAGACAAACTGTAATATTTTAAGCCAATAACTAACGGCTTAATTTGGAACCACACTTATAACATACTGTAACATTTTAAGCCTATAACTAACGGCTTAATTTGGAACCACACTCATAACATACTGTAACATTTTAGGCCCATAACTAACGGCTTAATTTGGAGCCACACTTATAACATACTGTAACATTTTAAGCCTATAACTAACGGCTTAATTTGGAACCACACTCATAACATACTGTAACATTTTAGGCCCATAACTAACGGCTTAATTTGGAGCCACACTTATCACATACTGTAACATTTTAGGCCAATAACTAACGGCTTAATTTGGAACTACACTTATAACATACTGTAACATTTTAGGCCCATAACTAACGGCTTAATTTCTTACCGAACTTATAACATACTGTAACATTTTAAGCCGATAGCTAACGGCTACATTTGGAACCACACTTATCACATACTGTCACATATTAAGCCAATAACTAACGGCTTAATTTGGAACCACACTTATACATACTGTAACATTTTAAGCCAGTAACTAATGGCTTAACTTGCTAGTCGGTATTTTTGTAATATTTTAGGCCAGTAAAAGCATACCGACCGTAGTTAGTTGCTTAAAATGTTGCAGTATATATACTGCATTAATAGCATAATATGTGAAAAGATGTACTGCCCTTCATCGCTATACAAGTAACGAAAAACCTCCAGCAGACTGTCGTACTCACAGTCAGGTAGTCTAATGGAGTCTGTACTCTCCGCCATTTTACCATAGAACATGGCACAGAACACCGGACTGCCGATTGCAAGAACAAACTTGTGAGCTGGAATCATCTTCCGGCTTTCACTTTCATTAATATTTGACGCAGGAACGATGAACTTCACATCGCTTAACAGCTCGTTGTTGAAAATGAACTTGGTTCTTTCGCTGATCGTTGAACATTCTGTCTGCCAGTGATCATTGGCCATTTCGCACAGATATTTATCTTCCAGCAGCACAGGTAACGCAGTATAGTGATGTCAGCTGAGCTCCCTTTCTCGGAATGAGTCACATGCCGCAAGCTTCTTTTGTAGAGGACCAGAAAAGGACTGAGAGGACTGGGTCCCAGTCCTTAACCTGAGATCAGGCTCTACTTTCGTTTCGCTTGGAAACTTATATTAGCGGTAGCCGTTAGAGAGAATGTATGAGAACCGCTAAAATTGGGCCTGATCTCAGGTTACGACCCATTCGTCCCTATCTGGTGATTTAGCGGCTTTGAGCAGCTTTGCTTGACCACACTAAAAATGTCGTGTAGCAGACCAATCCTCGAGTGACGGCGGCTCCACCGCCAAAAATTTCCCCAGACTTTGCACCTGGCAAGTGAGCCTGCCCGTAGGCTAGCGCTCCCCTTGACTTCTCTCGTTAATATGAATAGGAGGACTGAGAGACGGCATGGCGGCGAGTCAGCTCATATGGTATTTTCTCCGGCTATTAGTGTGAAGTGCAGAGTACTGCATATAAAGGTGTTTAGGTGCTGTAATAACTCGTGAAAGTAGAAACATAGTTTCGTAGTTTGATTTTTGGTGACGTCATGTGCAAACCAAGAATTAAGTGAGGGTCTGGATGGGGTTAACTGACAACTGACAAATCGCCTGAAATTTAACTGAGAACAGACATTTGCCTTGGTTTTTACTATCAACTGACAAAGGACCTGACTGTCTTTTATTTTCTACAAAACTCGTTTTTAAGGCCTTTTAATAGTATTGTTACACTCTTTTCATGGCCTATCACCTAAGTACCTTTCAGATTTAATTAGAATTCAACAGCCTTCGTCCTACAATTTGAGGTGCAAGAAAGAAAGTTGTTAATTACTATTGTGATGCGCTTTTGAATATTTTATAGAAAAGGCGCAATACAAATAATAAATGTTATTGTTGTTATTGTTATTTTCGTCAGACAATGTGATCAAATGTACGCTTATATGGATAATCTTACCAGCAGGACGCTTAAGTGTCAAATTTCCTTACTGATCTACCGTAAAACCCATCACCCATCACGTGTCAAGGATCATCCGTTGGAAATAGCCTATGATCTTAAATTTACGCTGCTCTGAGAACGCGCCAGCATACACGTTGGCTTCTAATGAAGGCGTTATAAAAGCAATTGTAAATTTTTCCTGAGATGATTCAGATACGGTGTTTCTTCGTCTTTCTCATGATCTACGTCCCAATATTCTAAAGGTATAAATTTTTATTGGCTTAATGGTTGGAAATGTTGGACGCTGGCCAGCAAAAACGTTTGTGTGGACGAGAGTAAACAAACCTTGGGAAATGGAGGGCCACGTGGAATGCTTTCAATAGCAAAACCGATAAAAATTAAGGTACTATTGCATCAGTTTTCGCTTTTAATGTTTAAGTTACAGTATATGTTCCATGTTACAGTGTTCTTACCAGACCTTGGCATTGCAGCATTCCCGCACTTTTTCAGGAAATGTCGCACTATATTTAGCCCAAGGGCGCAAAGAAGGAAAACAAAAAAACAACAACAACAACACGCTGTGGGAACTTTCTTTCCGGCATGCTTTTTACCTTATACGAGTCGTTCGCGTCGCTTGGCCTGTTTAAGTTCGCAAGTATTGCGTGCCAATTGCAACTTTGACTCAAAACAAGCGATCTCCGATTACTCTATTTGGGCGACGCCCAAGTAAAAAAGAACGTAGGTAAACATTAATTGGTTATGGCATCTTTACAAAACACCCAATTAGCGGCGTCCATAAAATAACGACTTCTGCGCATGCTCATGTGTAAAATGATGCATTCTGAAACTCCGCCATGATGTACTAATACACTGTAGCTTACTGTGACCCGCTCTTCTCCCTCGTGACCCCCTCTTAGCTTTTCTATGGGTCCTGTGGACCCCAGTGTAGAAAATCCTGGTAAGAACATTGCTTTTTAGCTAAATTTAGGATCAAAAATGAACAAATAAGTTTCACAGTTAATTATTAATCATCATTTAACTGACAACAGACAAAAGGCCGAAAATTTAACTGACAACTAACATTTGAACCCCCCACCCATCCAGACCCTCTTAAGTAACCTGGACCCTTGGTGCCCAGTCACACTTGAGTGGTTTTCCATTCAAATCCTTGTAAATTTTGAAAATTTAAACATGTCGTTCCCTGGCACATTAATGGGCTCACATTGCCTGTTATGAATAAAAAGGAGATTTGAGCTCCGTTTGAAAATTTTGCAATTTACATGGATTCGTACGGAACACCATTCAAGCGTGACTGGGTGACAAGAGTTGCTTTTCCCATACAAACCCTTCTAATTTTGGCAGCCGTTGCAATCGTTACTTTGAGATTCACAGCTGAAATTTACAGGTTACCTAATTTTAATATGCTCTTTCACTTTGTGCTAACAAACTTTTTGAAGAAAAAACTGTTTTTGTTAATTTTTACAGAAAGTTGTTCACGTGATCAACTAATACAAAAGGCCTATAGGAACCCAACATCTGTCATTTCTCATTTTAAAGTCATATTTTTCTCAAATAAACACCTTAACGGTAATGAATTTGATAAAATAATGCTAAATTAACTGTAAGTTAGGCAGGTTAATCTAGAAATTGTTCTACCCAGCAGAAGAAAGACCACTGATAGTAACAATATGGATCAGGACCTGACCCCATAAATTAATCTCTGTTTGAACAGTTAACCTGTCAGCTGTAAACTCACATAGAGATGTTCTTATGGCTTCATCATACATTCATTGCGGAAGATTGTGTGACAAGCCAAAAGAACATCTGTGTGGGAAGCTATATTATGTTTAGCGGCAACTACTCTACTGATTCATTCCTCCACTTCTTTTCCACAGTAATAAAATTCTAATCCTTCTACAATCATTAAACTGTGCTTGACTACTATTTTGTTTTGTCTTGTTTCACATGTGGCAGACTATAAAATTTAATCTACTTCACCACTTTAGACTAGTGCCTTACAGCTGATATCATTTCTTGTTAGTGCATGGTATAGACCTCCCAGTTCTCTGCCAGAGGTGCTTAATGATTTTGAAAATTTAATCAAACAAGTTGACGGTTTAAATTTGGAGCTCTATCTTGTAGGCCATATGAAAATAAACCTGTTACCAGATCCCGCTGACGGAAATTCTTGTAAACTCCTTAATGTTTGTGAGATCTATGGTTTAAAACAACTAATCACAGAGTTAACGAGAGTAACAGCTAAATCTCAGTCTCTCATTGCCTTATGTTTAATAACTAATACCCCTGATAAAATAGTTAGATCAGGAGTTGTGCCCTTAGGGATTAGTGATCACTTCCTTATCTATTTAATACGCAAAATGCATTATTCAAACCCTGATGGTGTTAAAGTAATCACCAAACGAAGTCTTAAGAATTTCAAAACAGCGGAGTTTCTTAAAGACGTCTGGGAAAGGCCATGGGACGACAGGCAATTCTCAGATCATAACAACTTGTGGGAATTCTGGAAAAATCAACTACTGGCCTGTACAGACTAACACACCCCTTTAAAAACAAAAAGAATTGGGAAAAAGAAGTCTCCCTGGATTACCTATGCACGTCAGAGACTTGCAAATGTTGCTAATCACTCACTTAACATTCATTTGGAAGATCAAGTAATCAATAGGGTATATGATGCTAAATCCCTAGGAATTCACATTGACCAATGTCTGTCATGGTCCAAACACGTCAATGAGATTGTTTGAACTATCTCCTCTGGTATAGGTGCACTTAAAAGGCTTAGGCTGTACATCTGTGTAGATACAGCTATACTACTGTATAGAGCTCTTATCAAACCACATTTTGACTATTCCTTCCCTGTTTGGGATAGTCTCAACGATGAATTAGCCGATAAAAAACTGAAAAAACATGGCATTAGAGTAATCACAAAGTCCGATTACCGCTGTAGTGATACTGCCCTCCACATAAATTTAGGATGGGATAACCTCTATACCAGAAGGAAAAATAGAAAGCTAAACCAATGTTTAAAATTTTAAATAAACAGACCCCAGAGTACTTACAAGATCTATTCAAACCATTCACCATGGAATACAATCTTAAAGACAAGGCAAATAAGTTAGCTCTACCCATGCCCCGTACTGAATTCGTTAGGTGAAGTCTGATCCGCTACAGTGGGGACCACTCGTGGAATAGCCCTTCCCAAAATGCAAGAGAGACCAGATCTTTTACCACGTTCAAAAATGTAATCAATTGCCTGATGCTACCCTAGTACTCCCACACGGCAAACATGAAAATCAGTTTTTTATTTTAATTGTCCTGTAATAATCATAGGACAATTAAAATAATAAAACAATCAGTTACCAAGGCTGTACTCTAGGGAAAATTGAAGGGAGCCCAGTGCTCTGAAACTGTAAAAACAAGGGTGCCCAGCATATGATTTGTATGAAAAATCTGAGATTTTCTAGTCGCCCAAGGGCAAAAGTTAGGCGCCAGAGGCCACCGGGCTCTGCTAGAGCACAGCCCTGGTTACAATTATTATAACTGATGTGTTCACCGTGTTTAAATAACGTGTATGATAATGTCGGATGGTAATGATGATGATGATGATGATGGTGATGAGCTACCTAAATAACTGAAATAATAAAGCAGGGAACTGGCCCCCGACAACTGATGTTCCATTACTGTCATCTGCTACTTCTGAGTTGCTGAAAGTAACAGACATTCCATGACACTCGAGGTTTGCTTTTCCACTCCCTCCAGAAAATGAAGTATCACCTTTAATGAGGGAGACTAATTCATAACGGTTATACTGCTTTAGATGTACTGGACTATTAAACATCGAAACATCAAAGCCATAAAACATCTTGGAATCGTGTTGTTTAAACTCTGAGATGTACGATCCCGATTTCTTCACAACACACAAACCACTTACAGTGTCAATCAAATCAACACTGACTGTGTAACTGCTTCCTTCTCTTCCAAAGTGCTCCACCCCTATTAAATGTATGTTCTTGCTGACGGTGAAACAGACACGGTCACTCTTTCCAAGCGTGTAATACCAAGAATCTCTAGGGCCCCATAATGATTCAAATCGATGGCAGCTAACAGTAAAGGGTTTGGTTCTTGGGACTACCGAGAACTTCAAAGGGGTAGTCAATACACCGTTGAAGTGTTTCATCAATTCAACAACTTCTTTCATTGTCAGAATGTTACTGTCGGCGACAACAGAAAGCAATTCCTTCTCTGACATCAGCGGAAACCTGATGGCCTTCAAGATTTCCTCTCCAATTATTCTTCTTTTGGCTTCACTATCAGAAGTTATTCCCTGTCTATCCATTTCTTTAGTTGCCCAGCGATCAACGGCTTTAAACAATTCTACTTCCTTCGCATTCAATACTTCTCTCTTCACAAGAGATTCCACAAGTGGCTTCTCTAGCGTGACAAATTCCTCAGACGACACAGCCTCCTCTGTCTGCTTCTCGATCACGGCCCAGCATCGATCTTCCAAATCTTTATCCTCAAATTTCTTAGCGTGCGGCAGAATGGAGAACACATTGGCTGCTTCCAGGTTGTCTCGCAGATACTCACTGCATTTATCAACAAGTGACGGAACCATGTACTTCTTCGCCAAGTACAGAACATGCATCACATTACTTCCGGTTAGGTTTACTTCATCGATATACAAGTAACGAAAAAACTCCAGCAGACTGTCGTACTCACAGTCAGGTAGTGTAATGGAGTCCTTACTCTCCGCCATTTTACCGTAGAACATGGCACAGAACACCGGACTGCCGATTGCAAGAACGAACTTGTGAGCTGGAATCATCTTCCGGCTTGCACTTTCACTAATATTTGGCGCAGGAACGATGAACTTCACATCGCTTAACAGCTCGTTGTTGAAAATGAACTTGGTTCTTTCGCTGACCGTTGAACATTCTGTCTGCCAGTGGTCATTGGCCATTTCGCACAGATATTAATCCTCCAACAGCACAGGTAAAGAAGTACAGTGATGTAAGCTGAGCTCACTTTCTTGGAATGAGTCACTCATTCTCGTCCCCAGAGCCCGTCGTATCTAGCTCTTCGTAGAGGACTGGGCACTCTGCGAAATAATCTCGTTTAATTTCCAGGCCGAGGTTGCCTTTTGCTTGTCCCCTTCCTCAAGTGGTGGCGGCTACGTCACCAAAAGTTTCCCCGGACTTGCACAAGTGAGCTGGCTCGTAGGCTGGCGCGCTGTTACAGTGATATGGGCATCCCCGCGGGCGTTTTGGGCGTCGCCTTCTCAAAACCCTAGTGATACGGGCATCCCCTTCTCGTATTACCTTAGCGATGCTCATATCACTAGGGTTTTGGGAAGGAGATGCCCAAAACGCGGGGAAGCCCATATCACTGTGACAGCGCTCCCTTTAACTTTTCTCGTTAATATGAGAAGGAGATAGAGAGACAACGACTGGAGACGAGTCAGCTCATCTCCGAGTAGTGTGAAATGCATAGTATTGCAGACTGAAAAAAAAAGTTTCCACGCAGGATGGCCAGAAGCTAACTAACACTGAATTATGATGATCTAGACTAATTTCTAGCAACAGAGACGGAGTCGAAGTTGTAAGTGGAATATTATGAGCCAGCTTATGAACGAGTAAACATCAAAAATTGGAACCGCAAGCGGACTCATATGCTGGACGCCGTAGTCGGAGTGGGACTCGGACTCGGCGTACAATCTACGGTAAAAACAAGATACGAGGAGAATAGAAGGAAAGTTGCTGTTGGTGGAAAATCATCTATGTGTGCTTCCCATTAACCTAAAATTTCTAGATATTTCTGTGGAAATATTGATGCAACGCTTTGTTCCAGACGGAAATTTTTCGGCACAGTGGTACTGACCTAGGCAGGTGGTCCTCTTTGACTTGCCCCGTCCGACCGAAACTTGCCGTTCTATTTCCAAAAACGTTTTGATTTCAGTGCCACTTTGCTGAGAAATAATCAAGTTCCCTCGAAAAGAAAATGGAACTCTTCAGTCCAGATGGAAACTTTGTTTCAATTGAACAATGCCGTTCCATTTCTCTTGGCCAATTCCATTGGTTTTTTTACCGGTTGGTTCGGCAAAATGGAAAGCACGGCCCTATAATTCGGAGTCGGAAGCACTGGGGGACTATAAACCAATCACAACGCTCATTCCCAGTAATGAATATGGATGTGTTAGGCCTTTTGGCGCAGGAATCTCATTAATTTACGCAGGAATACACGAAGACTATTAACGCCAATGGCGTCATAGCCCTTTTAGAGCTTTTATCCGTCATAAATACAATCAGGACCTGAACAATCGATGAAATCGATAATCGATGGCAATCGATAACAATCGATGACAATCGATATCAATTAATCGATTGATATTGATAATCGATGGACAATCGATCACGAAAATTTTTGTGATTATTGATTATCATCGATTATCAATATCAATCGATAATCGATGGGAATCGATCAATTAACATAATAGATTGTTATCAAAATGCAATATCAATCGATTACCTATTCATTCAAACACTTCAATTGTCAATTTCATCGAGTACTAATAAAGTTACACATTTTGATATCATTGCTTTTCATTTGAGTAAAAACTGGCGAGTAGCAATGCCTAAACTTTTATTTGCCCACACGTTTCCATCCTCGGAGACCCAGGGGCAGATAGTGGGGGCGAGGGAAAGTCTAAACGGGCGGAAAAATATGGCACGAAGAAAAGTAAAGAACGGCAAGAGGAGCCCCTGGGGACAATGGCTTACCAGACCAGTTCAAAACGGTCGCCGCTGTTCTGGCTTCTGATTGGTGGCAGAAAACTTGTTTCGTTTCGCGCGAGTTTAAAATTCATAGAAACGTACTACAGATTTGTGTGTAAGAAAAACAAACCCCACTGTTATGCTTCAACGAAACAGCTGGCAAATTAGGCAAGGTGTGAAGTATTCTATGCGTGATGTAACGTTTGGAGCCAACAGTTTAGCTAAGTATTCATAAAATATGTTCAATTTAATGCACACATTTTCTGTTATACGTGACATTTCTGCGTCCCAGGTCAGTTGAATCTTTGCAATGGCCTCGAAACTAAATCGATCAAGTTTGTACTACTGACAACGAGACATGTTGATTGTCTTTATTTTTTGTGCTGTTTTTCACCGAGCCACATCGATGAACAATTCTCAAACTTTAATACTCAGCTTTAAAAATAATATACGATCTGCGTACACTCCCGCGATACCTGAAGATGCGGAGAGATGAATTTAGTGCCAATCGATGGTAATCGATGAAGTTCGCAACCACCTAGGTGTGATTATCGATTGATCATCGATTGGCCGATGCCAATCGATGCTAATCAACAGTAATTAATCGATTGTCATCGATTGATCGATTGATTTTCCGATCATCGATTTTTATCGATTGTTCAGGTCCTGATACAATGTAAGAATATCATCAACCACTATCAGACCGGGGGGCTTTTGAGCTTCCCCCCTTCTCCCTCACTAAAAAGTGGAATAACTTACTTCAAAACCGTTTAATCTTAGTGACTTTACCTAAAATCTCGTGATCTGGGAACATTTTACAGTCATCGTGACCTGTTACCATGGAAACTGAGTTTTGACGGCCGCAACCTTGCTTTTCTAAATTTGAGCGTACTCCTGAACCGGTTGTTGACAGTGACTGATTGACGTTTCGACAACCTGCCTGTGCGGTAGTCATCTTCAGAATCAAAGTGAGTTGGATCACGTCAGTTGATGGCATAAAACTCTGCCTGGTTATTGACCTGATTCAAAATGGCGGATGTCCTCTGCAGTAATTCAAAATGGCGGCTGGTTCCAGAGTTTCAGCGGAAAAACGTCATCATATATATCACTGCTATTGTTAAATCTCATGCGTTTGTCTGGTTTTACCAGACACCTTATTGAGGGGATAATTATTGGATTTTGTCAATACAGCAAGTTGTCATTGCGTCAATCGGCTTATGCCTCTGAGTAATTTTGGTGGCCGTATGATAAGCGATTTAGAAGTTAAAGAGGGGGGCCTCCGCGCCCTCTCCTCTCTGGTCGCACAGTAATTTTTAAGGAGTTATAATAACTCCTCTGGTGGGTATAATTTAACTCTCCAAAAAGGAGTTTAAAGAACTCTTTTTCGGGAGCAAAAGTGACCCCAGATATTGAGAAGTTAAAACTAGGGTATCTAAAAGATAGTAATGCTGCGGCACATTCTGTTGATACTGGCATTGAATGTCCTATTTACATGTTGTAAAGTACTAGAATATTTACGATCAGTCTATAGAAAGAACTCGTGGGAACGTTGTTTAGAAAATGATCAAGTGGTTATAACTCTGGTTTTCCCACAGTAAATTGTAGGGAATAATAGAAATTCAGACTGTTTATCCTTATATTTATGATACGGTGCACGATATTTTCTCTGGAAACACAATACTTTTCTTGCTGTTTGTTGCACTTTATTAAGTAACAGTTATTTAGCTATATATTCATAGAAAACAACAACACAAAAAACGGGAAAAAAAAGAAAGAAGGAATGAAGACTTCGGTAGGACTCGAACTCTGCACCTCCAGCCCGACTACACCTAACCACTACACCACAGACGCTGATTACGTAATTTTCAGGAAAAGTCTTGATTTTATTTCTTTTGAGTGAAACTTCCGCCGGCAAGATGATCGCCAGCCGCATTAACCGAGCTATTAACAGTGAAAAAAACAATGTAAACGCATATTCCATGGCAATGAATGAATGAAAGAACATAATTATGCTTTTCAAAACGCCGATACACGTCCTCGTCTGCAAAGTAGGACACAAAACATATGTTTTGTTATCTCGATTTCCGCTGTTATTTTGAAGCGAATGGTCAAAATCACATCCATTTTCGGCTCATACAGTTTCTTAAGAATAGCACTGCATGACATTTTCTCACTTTCACATCACCTTCTAGAAAGCTGGAATTTGTATATCCCCGTGTTGCGGAGTTGAAGAGCAAATGCTCATCTTCTCGTCAGGTTTAACACCTGGACGAGTCAAAGGCTCTTGAATTGAAATCCAATCCCCAAGTTAACCATCGTACTCATCTGAAAGACTCCTGCGTGTCTCAAAATTTGGTAAGACCTCTAACCGTACAGTAGAAAATTTGCCACAAAGAAAACTCTAAGTCTGAGCAGCGAACGATGCACTCTCTCACCCACCGAACTTCCCCGTGTTTTTCTTTGAGTTGTTCGTGGCGCAATGCACTCTGGTTAAATGCAATGCATTGTGGTAAAAAGTGTGGTTAAATGCAATGCATTGTGGTTAAAAGTGATGAATTCGAGAATTCTTCGCCCCTTATATATTTCCTTGAAATCCTGATTATGTTGCTGCTCGCTCCCTTCGGTCGCTCCGCAGCAATAACCCCGAAAAAGGAGTTAACCTGTACCTAAAATTTTTACTCCACTTTCAGAGTTAATATAAATTAACTCCAAAAAGAGAAAAAACAACCCATGTAAGGAGTAAAAATAACCCTAGTTCGGAGTTGTTTTAACTCCAGGCTGGGAGTAAAAAGAACTCTTTTTCAGGAGTAAAAATGACGCCAAATTCGGAGTTAAATTAGGAGTTAAAGTAACCCCCAAAAAGGGGTTATCCTGTACCCACAATTTGTACTCCATTTTTGGAGTTATAATAACTCCCTAAAAATTACGGTGCGCAGAGAGCAAAAAGGCCCATTGCGAGGGACTACAAATTAAGTCGGGTGCTAATTGTTGGTGGTTCGACCGGTTACATAGTGGTTTTTTTCATATTTTTATGTCAATGACTGCCTTGATTTTTAATTGGTTGACTAAAAACCAAGAAACGTTTTCATTGGTTGATTCATCTTGTCGAAGAAAAAAGCGATATTTTGCCTCTGACATAAAAAATTCTGAGCCTTAAAGTATTTATGCTGGCAAGTTTTTCTTCCTGCCG